ATTGTTAATTGCAGCATTATCAGCGGATGAATAGATTATTTCAAGATGTTCCATATCTGTTTTGCTTTCTAATAATTCTTTTTCCAGAACTTTAACCCTATTTTCTAACTAGTTATTTAGTCCTTTTAACCGATTATTTGTATGAGATAAATTCCTGGCTTCACTATGCATTTCATTGAAAGCATTTAGTAATGTGCTGTAATTCATTTCATTTTCTGTGGGGGTTGAACTTACATGCGATGAAGAGGATTCACACCCAGTCATTAAGCATAGATTCACTTCTTCATCTTCAGATGCAGAACTGGAGGATGAGTCATTATCTTGCCAAGCTATGTAGGCCTTTTTCCCTTTGTACTTTAACTCTTTCTTGTTCTGATTCTTGGTTTTTTCTGGACATTCACTCCTTATGTGTCCCTGCTTACCACAAGAATAACAAGTAATAGTATTTTGAGTAGATTCAGTTCTTTTATCAGTGTACCTTTTAACTTGGCCGGTTCTGTTCTTCTTTCTAAGAAATTTCCCAAATTTCTTAACCAACGAGTCGATTCTCGCATTCATCTTCTTCGGACTCACTATTTTCTTCAATCGTCTTGAGAACAATGTTTCGCTTTTCTTCTCTGCATTTTCTTGTTCTTTAAACCGATTGATTTCCAGCTCGTGTTCCCTTAGGTTACCAAATAATGATGCAGTAGTCATTTCAGTTAAGTCTCTTGATTCTCGATATAGTCTGTCACCTTTGGTTGCCAAGTTCTATCCAAACATTTCAAGATTTTGATGTTTAATTCTTCCTTGTCAAAAGTCTTTCCTAGCCCAATTAGATGATTGACTATGTGTGTGAATCTTTTCTGCACATCTGCAATGGTTTCACCTTGCTGCATTTTGAACAATTCATAGTCTCTAATTAATTCATGCTTTCTTGCCCTTTTCACGTCAGATGTACCCTCATGAGTGACCTCTAGAATTTCCCACATTTCTTTGGCAGAGGCACATTGAGACACCCTGAAAAACTCATCAAGATTTAAAGCAGAGGTAATAATGTTTTTAGCAGTATAATCATATTGGACTTTCCTATTTTCTACATCAGTTAATTCAGCCCAATTTTTTTCAACAATTTTACCATCTACTGTATGAGTTGGTTTGAAAGGCCCATTAACAATTGTTTCCCAAATACCTCTATCAAGAGATTCAATAAAGATTTTCATTCTAACCTTCCAGAAAGAATAATTCACACCAGCAAAAAGAGGAGGCCTGTTTATGGAGGCTCCTTCCGAAAAATTCATCTTTCCCTCAGCCATTCTTGGACCGAATTCTTGAGTAACTTACAAGAACCAGCTCTGGTACCAATTGTAAGAATTAATGGTTGAGTTCAAGAGGGGGGGTGAATTGAACTTTAGAAAACTTTTTCGCAAAACACACTTTCTTTGGAAGAATGATTTATCTTTATTCAATTCTTCTATTAGGTAGATTTGGTTTTAATCACAGCAAGAATATAGACAAGAAATAAAAGAGATGAAAGCAGAAATACAACACAAAAGTTTATACTGGTTCACTCTTTCCCAGAGCTACATCCAGTTCTTGACAAATCTGCCAAGTTCCACTAATTCCAAGTGAAAATTACAACCAGTAGATTTACACCAATCTACCCCAAGAACTATCTCACAAACCCACAAGATAGATTCTTGAATAACCACCCAAGTAACCAAATCCAGATTCACGTAACCAGTGCAGATTCAACACCAAATCTACACAATCACACTTTATACAAGAATATGAAAAGAATAAACCTGGACTGTAGCTTTAACAATATAGAAGTCCAGAAGCAATTCTAACTCAGAACTTTCTCTCTTTGATGAACAACAATCTTGATCAAAACACCTTATGATATGAACAGTTTTTGAATGCACAGAGAAAGTCACGGATATGATAGCTCTAAGATTGCTCTCAAATGTTTTCACAAATTGTATATTTCAATAGACAAATCAAAACTGTATTTATAGAATAAAAAAGAGAACCTGATTGTCTAAATTGATTAAAGCTGATTTAGAGTAACGAGATGATCGATCAAAATAATAATATAGCAAGTCAGAATCAGTTATGATCGATCAGAATAGCTTTATGACCGATCAGAACCAGTTATGATTGATTAGAATCAAATTGTGATCGATCAGAATTCTTTTCAATCGATTAAAACGACGTTTCAATCGATTGATTTTATTTAAAACTTCATTCAATCAATTGATTTGAGTTTTCAATGGATTGAAACAGTTTTAGAAAAAAATGATAGCTCTCTGTTTCAACAGATTGAAATTCTGAGATACTCCAAATTAAAAAATAACATATCTCTGTTTCAACAGATTGATCTTGTTTTCAACAGATTGAAAATGCGCAACCTTTAATTGAAAAAAATCATTAAGAACATTTTAACCTGTTGATTCTGCGATTCAATCAATTAAAATTTTGACTGTATATGAACATTTTCTATGTTAAGTAATTTTAACAGATTGAAAAACTCATTTTGTTCTTTTAATGCTTAAAGGTTGGTTTTTCATGCAGAAAAATAAGTTTAATGAGATGCATCATTTCAAGGCGCTTATCACAAGATCTATTGAACTATCAAGAGATTAAATTCTAAACCTATAACCTATTCACCTACACACCTACAAACTAAACTCTATAAACTCTATATGTCTTCATCAAATCCAACAAGTGCTTCATGGTTCACTTCAAATGTTGAACTTAGAACACTCCAAGCACCTCAAATATTTGTCTGAGAAAGTTATGATTCTAATAATTACGTTGATATTTTATTATTAATATTTCTCATATTATGTCATTATTTTTGTCCCAAGGTGCAATTATATATTTTTTATTGTAATTCCTACTAGCTTTATTATGGGATCACAATTATACTACAATGTGTGTATGTAAACTCAATCTGCAATATGAATAATAAAGTCATTCTCTACACATTTCTCTTTCTTGGTATCAGAGTACTTAAGCTTGAAGGATCTTGATCCAATCATGTCTTTCGTAGCCAACACAAATAAGAAAAATGACCTACCCTCAACTGTATCTATCAGGCTGGATAGAGATAACTATCTCCTATGAAAGTCACTAGTTCTTCCATTGATTAGAGGTTACAAGTTTGATAGCTACGTACTAGGAACAAAAAAATGTCTATAATAATTTGTTACCACAAGTGACAAAACTAAGAAAGATAATCCTGACTATGAAGAGTGGATTGCACAAGACTAAACTCTCCTTGGGTGGCTACAAATTTAATGGTCATTGACATTGCCACACAATTGTTGCACTATGAAAACTCTTAGGAACTTTGGGATGAGTTCCAAAACTTAGCATGTGGACACACAAAATCAAGGACAATCTACCTTAGATATGAATTTCATAACACTCGCAAACGAAGATGGATCAGTATCTTCTTACAATGAAGAACCTTGCTAACAAATTAAAATTGATAGGATCACCGATCTCGAACTCGAAATTGATAATCCAAACACTGAATGACTTGGATGCTGATTACAATCCTATAATGGTCAAATTATCTCATCAAATCACTCTTAGTTGGGATTATTTACAAGCCCAACTATGATATTTGCAAGCATAATGGAACAATTATATCTCTCAATAAATGCTTTAGCAAACCTTGTAAGTAAAACTAATTTCAGAGGTAACAAAAAAAGGATACAAGGCAATTAGAGGAGGACTCTAACTTTAGAGTATGTAAATCTAAATCAATATGTTATGTACGTAACAAGATTAGTCACTATATTGAATTATTTTTATTGCTATGATAACTCTTACCCATATTTAAAATTATAATACTGAAAATAACAACAAGAGAATATCACTGTGCTTTCATAGTCACTTCTTACCATGATCAGGACCATGAATGCATTTCTGAAAAAATACTTTTAAATATTATATATATTCTGAAAAGTATATTTCAAAATATATTTTTAAAAATGATTATCCAAAATTGCATTTTAAATTGATGGATCTGAAATACTCCACGACGGTGAAAGAGATATTATAACATCAAATAAATATACCATATACACTTTATTGCCTTTCATTATAAGACAACACCAAGCATACACACACAGCTTAATACAAACATCAACTAATCCAACATCTTCCATCCATGTTTCCTTTCTCAATCCCATGAATCACTCAACCCTCTTAATCCTTATATTCATATCACTCAACTAATTTGAAGCACATCTAAATTATCTTTGTTGGGAATCTCTTTCAATCTAACCAAGGCACTTCTCCACTTTGACACACTTCTTCGAGACAAAAATGAACTAGTACTTTAATTTGTCAGAAGTTGTTTCGAGGAAGTCATTGTCATTTTTTCATTTCTTAGATAGGGGACAAACAAAGCAACTTTGAAAACTAAAATATTCGTCTTTGCTTTGTGATCAAGAGTGGAAAATAAAATTAGGACATGGTTCAAAGACTATAATAATATCAAGCAGAAGTTGGCCATATTTACGATGCTAGAGGGAAAGCAAAGCACAGAAAGAAAGGGTCCACAAGTTGAAAGGTGAAAGAGCACCTGTGTATAGTGAAAGTTGATTCCATTTTCACTCATGCTTGTTCAAAGTCTTTCCTAGTTACTTACTTCATAATCAAGTATAAGTGAAAAACAACAATTATATGCTGATTAAGAATATTAAACTTCATTTACTTTTCTATTTTATTTGATAAAACAACAATTATATCCTTCACACTCATAATACAAGCATTTACTGTTTGTGGGAACTTGTTTAACATGAAAGTTTTTTTTTTTTTCTATCTTGAATGTCAGAGTTAATATCATAAGAATTGGTTATATTGAAATAAAAATCTCAATAATTGAGACTTGTTTTTGGGAAGACTTTTCATTGCACAGCATTTCTCCTTTCTTTAAGAAGGTTTGTCTTCCCACTTCTGTACCAAGAAAGAACTGTGAAAAGCATTGCCCATAACCTTCTGCAATGGCTTCTAGTAGCATCCAAAATAGATCTTCATCACGCACAAGAAATTTCGACGTCTTCGTAAGCTTTAGAGGTGAGGATACTCGTAATGGTTTTACTGGTCACCTTTTTGCTTCTCTTCAGAGAAAAGGTGTTGTTGCCTTCAGAGATGATCAGAAAATCAAGAAAGGGGAACTCTTGGAGCCTGAGCTCTTGCAGGCTATCGAAGGATCACGTGTTTTCATTGTTGTCTTTTCAAAGGACTATGCATCATCCACATGGTGCATGAAAGAGCTCACAAAGATTGTTGATTGGGTTGAAGAAACAGGCCGAAGTGTGCTACCTGTTTTCTATGATATCACTCCTTCAGAGGTTCGAAAACAGAGTGGAAAGTTCGAAAGAGCTTTTGTTGAACACGAAGAAAGGTTAAAAGATTAATTGGAAATGATACTAAAATGGAGAGATGCTTTGAAAGCAATTACCAATCGTTGTGGGTGGGATGTACAAAATAAGTAAGTGCTTAATTATTAGCTTTTTTTTTTTCATAACATATATACATGAATTTCTTTATGGAAGTTTTAACTATTAGTGATGATATGGTGTTTTTCTCACTACTTTGGTACAGGCCACAACATGAAGAAATTGAAAAAGTTGTTGATGAGGTAACCAATATATTGGGTCATAATCAAATTTTGTGTTTTGGGGATGATTTAGTTGATATGCACTCTCGTGTGAAACAATTGGAAGAACTTTTAGATCTGGTGCAAATGAAGATGTTCGAGTAGTAGGAATTTGTGGGATGGGTGGAATAGGAAAGACCACACTTGCTACAACACTGTTTAATAAAATCTCTCCTCAATACGATGCTTGTTGTTACATTGATGATGTAAGTAAAATTTACAGGGATCTTGGACCAGTAAGTGTGCAAAAACAACTCCTTTGTCAGACTCTAAACCAAGGTGATCTTGGAGATACATAATGTTTGCCAGGGAATCAGGTTGGTAAGAAGTAGGTTATCTAATTTAAAGGCTCTTATTATTCTTGATAATGTTGATAAACTCGAACAACTTGAGAAATTGGCTTTACTACCTACGAACCTAGGTGCAGGCAGTAGAATTGTCATAAATCTCTAGAGATAGTCATATCTTAAGATATCATAAACGTGGATGCAATTTACAATGTTCAACTCCTGAATGCGGATAAAGCTTTTCAATTACTTTGCAGAAAAGCTTTCAAATGTGATAATATTGTGGAAGATTATACAGATTTGGCATATGAAGTACTGAAGTATGCTGATGGCCTTCTATTAGCAGTTGAAGTATTGGGCTCCTTTTTATTTGATAGAGACGTTTGTGAGTGGAGAAGTGCGTTGGTTAGACTGAAACAAAGTCCAAGGAAAGATATCATGATGTGGTACGAATAAGTTTTGATGGATTGGAGGAAATGGAGAAAGAACTATTTTTAGATATCGCTTGTTTTTTTTTCGATTTTACACCATTGTTCAATAACGTGACAGAACTTTTGGAGTATCGAGGATTTTGTCCTGATGTTGGTTTAAAAGTTCTGATTGAGAAATCACTCATAAGCTATAAGGGTCCGACTATAATGATGCACGACTTGTTGAAAGAGCTGGGAAAGAGCATTGTGAGAGAAAAAACAAGGTAAAACAGGTTTTGAAACAAAATCTTAATTTGTAATTTCCCTACTGTTGCAAAAAGTCTCACACTTTTCTTTTCCTTTGATAACGGTTTTAGGAAGCCAAAAATCTTGAAGCAGTAGTTATTGATTATTATTCAAAGCCTGCAGACAGTACATTGACGGTGGACGGTCTGTCAAAAATGAACCAACTTAATTTTCTCATTCTTCAGGGTGTAAAATCTTCCGGAATCCTCAATCATCTTTCTAATGAACTAAGATATATATTATGGATTGGATCTCCTTTCACGTCTTTGCCATCAAGCTTTTATCCAGATCGACTAGTAGAATTGATCATGCCTCGCAGCAAAATCAAACATTTATGGGAAGGAACAAAGGTACTCCAATGTTTTATTTCTATTTTCTTTACCTTTTAAGTGATTAGATAATAATTAAAAAAAAATTATCTCTAAATGTTTAACTTTATTTCTTTTAGTTTAAGAAACACAAGCTTGAATGTGATTGATTGTTTCTTTCTTTTTACTAAATTTTTAAAGAAAATAAACATAAAACACCTTTCAATTCCACTTAAATATGATTACTAATTTTTTTATATTTTAAAAATTATTTATTTCAATATATTTCAAAACTACATGCAATATAAAAATGGTAGTCAGTTACAGAAGATTGCACAAGGACGAAAATCAAATTATATTACATGTGTGGAAATATAAAGCTTAATTAATTATATATATATATATATATATATATATATATATATACTATTATTTTTTCTTGTCAAGAAAAATAGAAAATTAATTTAAAATACTTCCCTACATTTGTTTCTTTTACAGTATCTGCCCAATTTGAGAACTATTAATCTCAAATATACTCGGAAAATCTTATTGAGATTCCAGACTTGAAAGGGATTCCACATCTCAAGCACCTTGTGCTTCAGGGATGTGTAGAAATGGTGCGGATTGATCCATCCGTTGGTATTTTGAAAGAGCTTACTCGTTTAAATTTGAAAGATTGTAAAAATCTAGTCCTTGATCTTGGTATAATTTTTGGGATCGATTCTCTGGAGGAGCTAGATCTATCAGGCTGTCCAAAATTGTTTGATGAAAATGTTGATAAAAATACAAACGACATCAAATTTTCAACACCCTCTCCATTGAAAGTTCTAATGTTTCCGTTCCAATTTTTTTCCTCTCCAAAAGCTGCTGAAGATTCATCTGCTTTGTCGTTGTTTTATTTGCTTTATCCTCCACATTTGGTTTATCTTGATCTGAGCTTCTGCAATATACTTAAAATCCCTGATGCTATTGGGAACTCACATGCTCTAGCAAGCTTAAATTTGGGGGGAAACAAGTTTGTGACGCTGCCTACTACCATCAACCAACTTTCCAAACTCCAATTTTTGAACTTGGAGCATTGCAAACAGTTGAAACATTTGCCGGAGCTTCCAATATTAAAAGAAGAAACATTTGGAGTATCAGACCGGGGAATATTCATCTTTGATTGCCCCAAGTTGAGTGAGATGGAAAAGTATTACAGCATGATTTTTTCTACGACGATGCAACACCTTCAGGTAACCACTTCATCCTTTCTTAGCCTGTCTCGTTTTTTCTGTGTGCACTGATTATACATAGTTTTTATCTGGTACCAGGTATACTTCAAATCCTCTCAACGTATATAATAATTGTATGAGTATTGTTATTCCTGGAACTGAAATTCCAAGGTGGTTCATTAAGCAAAACGTGGGTAGTTCAATAAGAATGGAGCTTTCTCCGGTGATGGATGACCCAAATTGGATAGGTGTGGCTTGTTGTGCACTATTTGTGGCACATGATCCTCTAACTACTAATTTCACTAATACATGCCTACCGTTTCATCATCCTCATCACATTGCATTTGGTTTTCCAAGAGTACAGTCTCAGAGTGGAATTGACAACTATTTCATGGTTCCAATTATTTTCAAGAGAGACTTAGTGACAGTTGAATTGGATCACTTGTTAGTAATGTTTTTCTCTCGAAAATTTCTCGTTGAACATCTGGGCGGATCTGCACCTGGATTCCGCCATCCATGTTTGCTTTTGGAGGTGAAAGGTTGGGGGTATCGTTGTCTGTTTGAGGAGGATCTTCAACCACTGAAATCAAACATCATCTCCAATGCAACTTCTTCTTCTTCTTCTTCTAGGAAGCGCAAACTATTAACAAACTGATCAACATTCGTCTACTCATCATTGAGGTAAGATAAAACAGTAAAGCATTAGATTTATGATTCATTTTTAATAATTTATAGTTTTTATTATTATTTTTTATCTTATACATACTTGGCAATTGTGTGAAGAAGTATTTATCAGCAACCATTGTGTCATTAATTTTCAGTGAATCTTCTCTTGTTTAGTTTTTCCTGAAGTCTTTGTGTTTTTTTGTTAAAAAATCATTTATACTCAAATCTTCACAACACCTTACTCCAAAACTTGAAGTGGTTGAATGAATTGGCTTCAATAGAGCGAATTTTGTGGATTTTATATAGTTTATATATTTAAAAATAATTTATTTTAATCCTTATAGGCTATCTTAATCTATTTTACTATCATCTAAACTCAGTGACTAAAAGGAATCAAAGTAATGTATATAAAGACTTAAATTTTTTTTATTATAAAATTTATTAAGACTTAAAAAAACTTTAAACCACTAGCATATGACTTGATTTGTTTTAAAGAATTCAATCATATCATATCATTTTTCATTATAATTGAATTTCAAACATTATCAAATCACACGAAACATTAATGAATGTGACCCATTAAGTTATTTTTATTTGTACTGATAAAATATATTGGATATTATAATAATAAATAAATTGAAAAACAAAGTGATAAATATAAAGATATTTCATAATAAATTGAAAGAGTCAAAATAATAATAATAAAAAATATTACTTAAATATTTGTTCACAAACTTCATCAATATCCACTCGAATTTTCTTTAGGCTTCAGATCACATATTCGAAAATATTTTTATAATTAACACAATATATATATATATATATATATATATATATATATATATATATATATATAAAAGTTGTTAGAACATTAAGATTAAATTTGCGATTTTTTCAAGAATTATTGATTGGATTGGACCTATCTGATGAAACCAGTCGACAAACCAATTAGCTATGGTGTTAGGTAATTCTTTTTTGAAGCAGATATACCATAAATGCCTAGTGTTTGTATCAAGTAATATTTTGTTTCAGGCTTCTTGGTAATAAAAGTAATTATAGGAGAAGGATCAAAGGGATTTGAAAAGTTCTTATCAGTGAAAGGGTGTTGGTCCCATTCTTGATAGGAAAGAATTCTAATAATTCATAATTTTGAATAACTAATAATAGATGGATCTTTTTCATTGGGATTAGGAGTTATTTATGCAAATCCGGTGTTTATTAGGATAAACTGATAGAATCTTTTATTCTTTTTAAAATTTTCTAATTTAGGAATCCAGATCCATCTTGGAGGAGCTAGATTCTTAAGTATTCAATGAGCATCTTCGGGGTTCCAGTCTTTTTCCAGGATAATAATTTTCTGACATCCTTCTTTTAATATGAAACTCCTTTTTTGGAATTTTTTCAGTTTGAATTTGTTGAGGGGTTTTTGGGGTTAGGATGGTGAATCTATTTGGTTGGGTAGTTATCGAGGTGGAAAGTTTTCGGGTAGTCATGGTTTTAGAGTAGGAGGGGACAAAGTCATCTAAGGATAGGGTAGAGGACTTTGAGCCTTTTTCTGTTTTAGTTTTTTCAGCCAAAGCTGGGTCTTTAGAGGGGTTGCCAAGGGGTGGCCCTGCAAGAATTCTCTTGTTAGAAAATCGGGTATTGAATTTTCTTTTCCTTTAATAAATTCTATTTCAAATTCAAAACATGACAATAGGCTTTGCCATCCGACGAATATTTGTTTAGAAATTATATTTTTTACATCTTTTTCTAAAATTTCTTTTGCAAATTTGCAATCTACTCTTAATATAATTTTTTTATTTATTAAATCATGTTGAAATTTTTTAATATTCAAAACTATACTTAAAACTTCCTTTTTTATAATGCTATAATTATTTTGGGTGTTATTCCATATTCCTGAATGATATCTTATTAGTTGCTTAGGGTTTTTTGATTTTTGTTTTTAATATTCCTCCATACCCTAAATCGGATGCATCGGTTTTTACTATTTTTTGAGCTTTTGGATGTAGTATTCCTAGACGAGGGTAAGATCTTAACTAATGTCTTAATTTTTATTACTATTTTAGTCATTTCGAGGTCCATGGTTTTGGGTTTTTTCTTAGTCTAATAAAAAAGGGTTTACACAGTATTCTGATATTGGGCATAAAGTCCGCTACATAATTTAGACATCCCAAAAATTGTTATAGTTGTTGTTTATCTTTTATTGCGTTGGGAAATTTTTTTGAGAACTCAATACTTCGTTTTATTGGAGTTATTGTTCCTTGGGTTATTTCATATCCTATAAATCTTATTTTGGTTTGGGCTATTTTTATTTTCTTTTGGGATATTACCATTCCATTTATTTTTATAAGGTTTTTAAACATTTTTAAATGTTTTTTATGTTGTTCAATGGATTTTGAAAATATTAATACATCATCTATATATACTAATGCAAATTTTGAATAGGGATTTAGTATATCATTCATTATTTTTTAGAATTTTGAAGGTGCATTTTTTAATCCTATAGGCATTACGTTCCATTCGTATTGCCCAAAGAGTACGATAAAAACAGTCTTATATTTGTCTTGTTCCTTTAATTTTATTTGATAATATCCACTTTTCATGTCGAATTTTGAAAATATTGTTGCATTATAAATTCTACTTATTAACTCATTTTTATTAGGCAGAGGATACCTAATCCATTTTAAGACTTTGTTTAAAGGCTTATAATTAATTACCATTCTAGGTTCTCCTCTTTTTATTTATGAAGCATTTTGCACGTAGAATGTTGCACAACTCCATGGAGATTTACTAGGTCTTATCATTTTTTTCTTAAGAAGGAACTTATTTCTTTTCTACAATATTCTAAGGTTTCTTTATTTAGTTGTATCGGTCTGGCTTTTGTAGAAATATTTTTTTTAGAGAATCCTTCCTCATATGGTAATTCTATTTCAAATGAGTTCCTATTCCAGAAGGCATTTGGAACTTTTGCACATATTTCTTTTATAATGTCTTGTTCAATTTGTTTAAATTCTTTTATAGTTTTGGGATGATTTAATTGTTCTTTAATTCTTTTGTATTTGATTTCTTGTTTTAAATGGGTTATATGGTATATTTAAGCTTCTATTTTTAATAAAAAGTTTTCTTCAGTTACATCGGTTACTAGTTTTATTTCCTTATTTTTTTACTGGTTTAATAAATTCAAATATAAGGTTTTTATGTCTTATTCTATTTTCTGATACTTCAAAGGGGTATATTAATGCTAAAAAGGGAGTTTCTAGAATCATTTATTCGCTGATGTCTGGGGTTAATATAAAGGTATTTTTGATACATTTTCCTTTGTTACATATAATGGCATTAGGTGTAGACCCCAAATCTTGTCCGACCTCAAAATAAAGAGTGAAAGACTTCCGTTCGAAGATGGGCAAGGCTTAAAAGGTCCTTAAAATTGATCAATAGGCTCCATATTAGAATAGGAAAGCTTTTTGTACACGAAAAATAAGAAATTTCACCTAAAGGGCCGAGACCGCCGTCTCGCCGTTGGCTAAGGGTGAGATCGCCATCTCGTTTGGCGAGATAGCATTCTCGCCACTCGCCAATGGCGAGATGACCGTCTCGCCACTTGACGAAGGCGAGACCGTCGTCCCATTTGGCGAGACCGCGGTCTCGACCTGACAAGTGCGAATTCCTATAAAAGGGAGGGGGGCTTTCTCACTCTTTACACACAATTCTACCACTTTCTCTTTTGTAAAATCTTCAAATTACTCTCCTAGGACCCCTCTGAAGCATTTCCAGAGTTTCTTAGAATTCTTAGAAAATGTTTTGTAGTGTTGCAAGGAAGAGTGATCATCATTGTAGAGCGTGAAGATTGCCAAAAAACACCCTCTTTCAAAGAATTTACTATAAAAGCTTGCTTCGAAGGTTCCTATATACTCCCTTCTCTATTTTACTGCTTTTTAGATAGTATTGTTGTGCATTAATCATTTAGGGTCATGTAGTCAATAATTTAATTTCCGCAATAAATAAATAAGGGTAAAAGCGCAATTTAGAGTTATTATTTCTTTATAAAAACGGTCCATCATAGGGAACCCGAAAGGGGCATCGTAGGGAAGCTAATACTTTCCCTACACGTAACTAACTCCCTTACCTAACTCTGGTTGTGATGACCAAAGTGAGTTTTTCTTAAAAAACCACTGCCTTCTTTTTTCTTCCTTTTCTAATGTTTCTGGTAAAAACATTGGTGGCGACTCCTCGAACCTTTCGAAAACCTCGCCTTTAGGTCCAGCTCGGTTATCAGACAACTTAAAAGCGTTGAACCATTTCTTTAAAAAATGCAAGTCGAACGAAACCATCGCATCGCTTAGATCGCCTCTTTTGATGGCGGCGACAGATGGCGACTCCACTGGGGAAGCTAGAGAGTTGATCCCATTTAGTGATGGACTAGTTTTAATAAATAAAACTTAAAATTGCGCATTTACCCTTCCTTGTTTTAAAACATGTTTTAATTGCTTGGCTTTAATAACTGTTGTGTGTTTATTTTATGCAAATTGTTTGAAATACAAATTGTACACAAACCCTTGCACACAACAGTTCCCCCTATACCCGGAGGCAAGTGGGATATCCATAGGGAGCGGGTGGCATTGTACGATTTGCCGTAGTGAGGGCCATGAACCCACCGGTATGGTCGGAAACCACCACTCAAGATGATAACTTTCCTCTTTTGGCCCAAAGACTGACTAAGGCCTTAGTGTCATGCATGGTCTGAAGTCTGGGAGAGTGGGGACCCTATAATGGGGGCACCTTGGGGGCCTGGCCTTGGTGAGGAAATTTAGAACTACCCTGAATATGCACTCTTCTGCAGGATACCCTACCTCGTGATTAAAAACATCGTCCTACTTGTTCGCGAATGAGTGAATTATGTGTGCATTTGTTTGTTGCATTTGATTATCGCATAACATAAACATACAATAGAAAAATAAAAGAAAATCTCAAAAAATCTTTTCACAA